CACTGCTCTGGGAGACTCCTTGGCTCCTCCCTCCATCATCTCCTCCATGGCTTTTCCCTATGCCAATACCTCAGTCACGTCCCTCTCCAACTCCACGTGTTCCTCCAGAATGCACTCCTTCCCTCCTCAGTTAAACTCGTGAAGACTCATGGCGTGTGGACGTGAGTTTTTGTTCTGATTCATTGTTTATTAAAGGGGTCATATGATGCTTTTTTAAAGATCATTATTTAGGTTGACAGCTGCATTTAGATCCTGCCTCAACTCATCCTTTGCCTAAATCTATCGCTGACAATTGTGAAGGGCAATAGTACAATGTAATACAACAATGACAGCTGTACTAATAAATGTTCCTCAAAGGTTTTCTCATATAGGATACTCACATTTTAACATGATTTTTCTAAAAATGATGGATAATTGAATAAGTTATTTCATTCTAGTAAGTGTTCATTTTGAAAGACTAGCAATATAACATTTATTTTTACATGTACTTTAAAAAAATAATCAGATTTCACAGAAAAAGACATGTACCATGACCCAATGGTGAATAGTTTTAGAATTATAGCTACTAAAACGCCTTTTACTTACTAAAAAAAAGTGTGAACTACTAATCAGAGGGAAGGAGGCATTTTTTCAAGTTTTGATCATGTTGATCATTTAGAGGCTTTAGAAATTCATAAGGTTAAGCTTTTGAAAGTAAGATAAATGGTACTGAACTGTTTTAGCATGAAAAGATAGAAATAAGTAAAAAAATAAATAATAATAATTAGTTTGCTTTTACTCCAGATTGAAAGTTGTGGAAGAGTCATTCGTTATCACTTAGTCAGGCCACAAAACTATTTTGATTGAATTGAGTGATTCAATTATTTTCAATTATTTATTTGCTGAATAAATAAGCTTTCCATTGATGTATGGTTTGTTAGGATAGGACAATATTTGGCCGAGATACAATTATTTGAAAATCTGGAATCTGAGGATGCAAAAAAATCAAAATATTGAGAAAATTGCCTTTAATGTTGTCCAAATGAACATCTTAGCAATGCATATTACTAATCACAAATTAGGTTTCAATGTATTTACGGTAGGAAATTTACAAAATATCTTTACTTAATATCCTATTTACTTAATATCTTTATGATTTTTGGCATAAAAGAAAAAATAAGTTAAAGGCACAATATGTAAGATGTTTTTATTAAAATATACAAAAACCACTAGAACAGTGTTATATATTTTGCTGACTTATGTACTTACATTATCCCAAATGTTTCGAAGAATGTTTAAATCCAGAGAAATAAGCAATTTTAACTAGTGACACGGACCGTGTCCGTAGTGTCATTGTGTCGCCTGCCAATGACGTCATAACCCCTCGATTTCCAGATATTTATGGAAACACCAAAGACGCTTTAATATGTTGTGTGTTTTATTAGACCTATGCCTTTGTCTATTTGTTTATTTTGAATCCGCGCCCTCTAGCGGCGAAAACTACATATTGTGCCTTTAAAGGAGACATATTATGCCCCTTTTTACAATATGTAATATAAGTCTCTGGTGTCCCCAGAATGTGTCTGTGAAGTTTCAGCTCAAAATACTCCACAGATCATTTATTATAATATTTTGAAAATGCCTATTTTAAGTGGAAGCAGAAACAAGCTGTTTTACGTCACCAAGGGAGCGAAATCAGACGCGCTCGTTTTTTCGGAGGCTTGCAGAAAAAGGCTTACCAACTCTTTCACGTTTCCTTGCTTGGTAGATGCACCGGGGACCTGATTATAGCACTTAAAACCTGGAAAAGTCAGATGTTCATGATATGTCACCTTTAACATTTTACCAGCAGAAATTTCCTACTTGCTGTAAAACAGTGCAGCCTCCGTAAATGTCCACCAGAGGACGCGCTCTACTGATGTGAGATGACATTCGCCCAGGCTAGCATGAGTTTTGTGGGGCATCTTTGTGAGGAATTCCCCATGTAGTCACTTGACCTACATGCAGACCCCTGAGTGCTGGTCTGTGAGAGGGAATCCCGGCGTGGAGGCGGTGTCCACAACATGTACAAATATTGTGCATGTTTTCTCGTCTCTGTGGTTGCTATGTAGTCAAGAGACTGCCACGTGTTTGGTGCCTTTACGTAACTCTTTTTTTCCTTCTTAAAATACGAAATGTCTCATAGTTCGCATAAAGAGACTATGTGAACACATTTAGACGCTTGGTAAGAGGCTTATGGAAAATTACAGGCCATTATGTCCTAAGGGAATATTGTTATGCTGACACAGTGACTAAAACATGTAGCTACTTTTTCTGTTCAGTAGGGCCTATAATATTTTAATAGGCAATATGCACACTTTTTTCATATACTTTAAGCACCCGGTTTTGTTTAAAGAAATTGTTAGGAGTTTCAATATAAAAAACTGCAGATGATTATAATGATTTATGTTTACTTGCTCAATTTATGAGGTGGATCTCAAATGCCTGTATGTTCACACAGCCTCAGTCACCACACACGCATACAAACTTGCAGGGTTCAGGATTGAAACCAGCCCTGAAGAAATGTCCAAATAGGGGGATGTTAACGTTTTCCATAAAGAGATGGCCTCAAATCCTGAACTTGGACTTTAGGAAACTTAACAGACCAGAGGAAAAGATATTAATAACCCCTTCAAGCCCATCCCACCACATTCTTCACCACTGAGTCACAATGTAAACCAGCAAGCAATGGAGCCATGAGTGGATTGCCTCTGTTTCTCATTTGTGTTTCTTTCCACAAAGAAATTTAGGAAAGAAACAGGGAGATACCCTTCCTCTCTTTCTTTACAAACCCAAAGGGTCACACACACACACACACACACACAGGTTTGTTTTTGTGAAAAGTGGGGACATCCCATAGGCGTAATGGTTTTTATACTGTACAGACCGTATATTCTATTGCCCTACACCAACCCTAACCCTAAACCTACCCCTCACAGGAAACTTTGTGCTATTTCAGATTTTCAATACACTCCATTCTGTGTGATTTATAAGCGTTTTGAAAAGTGGGGACATGGGGTAATGTCCTGAAAAGTCACCTTCTCCTTGTAATACCTATGTCATACCCTTGTCATTATACAAATTTATGTCCTCATTTGTCACAAAAACGCACGCGCGCACACACACAATGCTCTCACAGGTTGTGGGGTTGTATGAGAGAAGAGGAACAAGAACAACCAAGGCATTGTGTAAGATGTGAGAAAAGTTATAACAGCCTCTGGAATGATGAAGAGCTGGAAAGTATAAGCGAAGAGAGGAACGGGTGGTTGTGCTGGAAGATGGAAAACGGTGGTATGGGGTTTTGGCAGGGAGATCTGTGACTCACTGTTTATCTGGCCTGTCACCGAGCAACTGTACAGCATATGTGTGCACAAGACTGCAGCTTCTGCCTGCTAGTGCCTCCTTTCCCAAAAATTCAAGATTCGTAAAAGGCTCTTTCCATTGAAAGGATACCAAATAGTCTTTGGAACTTTCAAAAGTCTGTTTTTTTTTTTATCAGTGAGTGAAAGGAGAAAATGTGAAATGTCAACCCAGGGATGTAAAATTAAATATTATATAAGCTGTTTTAAATTTCTATTTGTTTTGAGTGAGGATTGCATTACCCTGTTAGAGAAATTTGATATTTGATTTGTGGAATTTTGTTATTTTCTAGCAATAAACATTACAGAAACACATACATTAAATAAAATAATAATAATGAAAAGGAAATAAAAATAAACTTAGTACGGGCTAGCTAGTTTGGCGTAAAATGTTGGTTTATACAGTTTGTTCTTTTTTTATTTATTTTTTTTTCTCGTTCTATAAAAAAAGACAAAAAACAAAACTGATCACATATAAAGCATATCTCATTTTTGATTTTAAAAGCAAATACAGCAACATGCTAGTAAACTGATTAATTGTTCCAAAAACAAATCTCAGAAAGGTTTTCACTTGCCTCCTTGGGTCTGCTGTCAAAGGAGTTTCAGAGTTTTATGTGCTTGTCTTGACTTCACAGTCTGATTTAGCTGACTACATTAAAAGCCACATGGAAAATTGTGTAAAGCCAAGTCTATAGATTTCTACAATGATGAAAATACTGTAAATGTCTCTTATCTACAAGAGTTTTTTTTTTTTTTTTTTTTATTTTACATATCAGTGTTATGCTTTTACAGTGCAGTTCTTTTTGTAAAAAATGTCTTTTCAAACCAAAAAGGTACAGTCAAAGGGTCTTTATTCAGCTCAATATATTTACTGTGAAAACACTGGATAACTGAAGCAGTCAGTGGGACCGTTTACAGTAGTCAGTAAGAAATCTCCACTTTTTTGCTTTAACATGTATGACATTGATTATATATATATATATATATATA